CTCCCCCCTCCGCCAACATTTGCGGGAAAATTTTTTTAGGTGCCCTTTTCAACACCCTAAAGTGCCCCTAGAAACCGGTGCCCCCCCCCCCCAATCTTTTGATGCTTCCTACACCCCTGGGTTCCGTTTCACAATATGACCATCTTTACTTTGGGTGCTTATCTCTGAACCAGTCTTTATTATTTTATAAGGTTTGTGATTAAAATTCACAGTTAGCTTGTTTTTAATTCTTTTTTTGTCTAACCAGTACATAATCTCCAACTTGTAGATCACTTGTTTTGTGTTTCGTCTTTGATTTGCATATTCTCGGTTGCGTTCTTGTTGTGTTTTCTCATTGTCGCAAGCTTTTTTATGTCGATTGACAATCTTCTTGCTGTTTATTAATGGTAATTTTCCTTTTATCAATCGGTTAAACAACAGTTCTGAAGGAGGTACTCTTGTAGTACAATGTGGAGTGGTACGATATTGTAAAAGAAAACGGTTTAATTCTTGTTTCCATGGTCGTCCTTCGAGTGTCGCTGTCTTGAGCGCCTTTCCTAACGGTCGCATAAATCGTTCAACTGTAGCATTACCTTGGGGCCAGTAGGGTGTTGAAAACTTAGCTTGAATACCAAGGGCTTTCAGATATCGTGCATATTCGTCTCCGTTAAAAGGGGGACCATTGTCAGATATAATGGTGTCAGGAATGCCATGGACTGAGAACATTTTGTCAAGTTTTGGAATGACTGTTGAGGCTCGTGTTGAATGAACGATCTCAACCTCTGGGAATCTGGAGTATCTATCTACCGCCACTAAAAGACATTCAGACGATGGCAGTGGACCATAAAAATCTATGTGGACAGTTCTCCATGGTAATTCTGGCATTTCGATCATACGTAGTGGTTCTGGAAGATTCGCCTGTCCGACAGCTTGACTAGTGTTGCACTTAGCAATTGTGTCTTTGACTCGTTTGTCAATTTGGGGGAACCAGATTTTTTCATGAACTAGGCACTTAGTTTTCTCTATTGCTAAGTGTGTCTCATTGTTATATCTACAGCATTTCGCGTTGTTGTAGAGCAGCTGGAATGACAATCCGTGTTCCTGTAAGTATAACACCGTGTATGGTAGGCACAAGTTCGTTTTTACAGCTTTGAACGGTTTTGCAATTGGGGAATCCCATTTTTTTTAATTGCATCATGGAGTCATGTTAGTGCCACGTCTGCGTTAGTTGCATTGATTCTTTCTTGTAATGTCATCGCCTATGGGACACTATTCTGAGTTATAAAATTAATGTATTGTTCCGTCATCATGTCCTGTTTTCGTTTGCTTTCGTTTGTTGGATGACGAGAAAGATAGTCTGCAGGGTTGTTTGCACCTGATTTATAAATAATCTTAAATGTATATTGTTTGCAGAGAAGTACTCATCTTTCAATTCGTGCAGACGTTTTGGCTGTACGTTGGCCATAAATAATTTCTAAAGGTTTATGGTCAGTTATTAGTGTAAATTCACTTCCAAATAGAAATAAATGGAAATGTTCAACTGCGTACACTATTACTAACACTTCTTTTTCTGTCAGGGAGTATCTCTTTTCAGTATCAGACAGTCAACGCTCGGCTAGCATATGTAATTATCTGTTGACTGTCTACGTCACCGTTTCTTAGGTTTTGAGAAAGAATTCCAGAGATACCTACAGGACTAGCATCAACTGTTACAAATGTTTGTTTGTTTTTGTCGAAATGTGACATAAATGGAGCAAATCGAGCGTGTTTTTCAGCTTTTCAAAAGCAGTTTGATGTGTTTGAGTCCACTCAAAACGAACATCCTTTTTCGTTAGGTCACGAAGTGGAGCTGTTAGTGTTGCAAAATCTCGAATGCACTTACTGTTATAGTTGGCCATGCCAAGAAAGCTCCTGACTTCATGTGCATTATTTGGCTGAGGTGCATTTAATAGATCAGCTAGCGCTACTCTCCTAGGGTCAGGATGAGTACCTTCTTTCGAAACGACCTGTCCGAAAAATGACAATATATTACTAAGGAAATTACACTTGCTTCGGTTTAGTCGTAAGCCCTTTATTGCAAGTCGTTGTCGACATTTGTCAAGATTAGCGTCATGTTCAATCAGTTCTTGTTGAGCCGAATACAATGATATCATCAGCTATGTTCTTGACGCCTTTAAGCTCTATGTTCTTGACGCCTTTGAGCTTGCAGTGCAGTTTGGAGTGTGTACTGAAATATCTCCACCGCAGCGTTTGTACCATAGTTTAGTCTTTTTTAGCGATACTAGTCTTTTGTAGCGAGTGCTAAAGGTTGTTTAATGTTGGTATAGGATGATGGCGTACTCGTCTTATAGCTTCATTTGCGAGCCGCATGTCGACACATAATTATGCGAACCTGTCCGACTTTTTTGATAACGGCTACAATGGGAGAAACCCAAGGAGTAGCTTCATTTTCGGGCACTTTTTCAATGACAGCTGGATTTTATATTCGGTTATCGCGTTTTTCACTTTTTCTCGAATGTGATAAGGTACGCACCTTTCGGGTTGTGCTTTCAGAATTTTAGTTTGTCAATATCTTTAAAAGATTGCAACAAGATTTCTATTTCCATCTACAGTTTATACAAAAATATATGTCAACCTTGATGTTTTGATTGTTTTCTATCTACAGAGTACAGATATACAAAAATATATGTCAACTGACAACTTATAAATTATTTGATAACAATTTTAATTTCCGGGTTAAGATTCTTTCAATTGTCCAAAAAAGCTGTATTCTTAATCGTTCAGCCGCCTTTAGCGAGCGTATTAATATAAATTCACTAATTCTCATAATTCTTCACTCCATGCAATCCGTCATCTTGGATGACAAATCCTCCTCACGTGCATACCCTAGAGACGAAATCGCTGCGCAAGCAAGATGCGCAGAACGGCTTAACCATGTCGGGTTTTGGCAGGCATCTCACCGACTTTCTAAAGTAAGTACCACGAGATGCTTGGGAGGAGGCTAGGGCTCACAGTGTTTTAGCTAAGTCTTCGAGACACAGTTGCTTCGCACGTGTTGTGGTCAAATTTTTGCCAAAGATAAAAGGCCGAAAGGTGAACTTCCTTCATGAAAACCGCATCGAGAAGAGTCTAGTTCTTAATTTCCACTTCATGAGCATATTTTTGTTACACGTTAAATATTTTCATACTTGATGAGATTCAAAATTTGTTGTATATTCAAGCCCAGCTTCAGTGTAATTTTGGTGATGACCGGAAAAGATATGAAGATATTTTAAAAACTGGTCATGGCCTCACGATAAAACTTTCTAAAAATGTTCTTTGTTTCATGTATTTTTATTTGATACATTGGGTAAAAAAAGGGGCTGATACAATTTACAAGGTTTTAAAATGCATGACTTGCCTCTATTTTCATGCAAACATTCGAAATGTTACGACAGTAAAGTAGCAATTGTTTCAGATCGAATGTGCACGGACAGCACACCAGGAACAATGGCAGGGTACTGATATAGAACGTCACTAAACAATTCTGTATGATTAATTTAGATCATGTCCACCATTTTCAACATAAAACAGTCATTTATTTTGTACCAAACATTTGGCAATATTTACAATTGCTCCTTTTTGTAAACACGCGTTGCGTGCATTCCACGCAATTGCGTGCCTCATTTTGCTCGCGCATCCTCAGACAAATTTCCCAAATGTTCATCTGGCCAAAATTCTGGGATTGGAGTTATTGTTACAGATTGCATGATCTGTACAGCCGGTTGCTGCAGTGGTTGAGGCTCTGCCTGCTCTTCCATCATCAATAGACAAGATTAGATATTTTCGTTTAATATGATACGTTTATCTTCGTCGCCATTATAATGTTCTGATATTTAACAGACTTCTTGATATCTCGGCTACATGTAAACAACTGAACATATAATGTTAATATTCTAAATATAAACTAAACGTAATACGTGCATTAATGATTAATAGCTACTAACATTACTAATAATATTTACCACAAGCTTTTTTGTTGACTTCAAGTTCTGTTCTGTGCACGTTGTAACGTATTCCCTACAGTTTGTCAAGGCTTTAGGAAACCACGCGTATGTATCCACCATGAAAACCATCGCGACTGTTTCATTGTTTCTTTTTAACTCACTTGCCATTTCGTAGGCTACTGTACCGCCAAAAGAGTAGCCCGCTAAAAAAAGGGGATCAGTCTATGGTTATGACGACTCAGTATATATAAAAAATTGTCAGGAAATTACTTACCGAGGTAATATGGACCACGTGGCTGGATTTTTTGGATAAGATCTGTATATTTTTGTGCGAGTGCAAGAACTGAGCCGTAATCACTTTTCTTACGTGACACATCGTCCATTCCAATGCCATATAATGCAACATTTATCTAAAACAAGATACAATATATTAAACCGAACCACATACAGGTATTTTGCATTCATACAATATTCTATTACAGATAATGAATCAGTTTTCTCAATGTCTGTGGAGTAGCACAGGAGAAAGAGGAAAGGGAATGGTGACCTCCCGATTGTGTTCTTTTGAAGCACCCAGTTTCCTCGACCATAAAATTCCGATATTTGCCTAATAACAATTTACAATTTTAAATGAGCAAAAAAGTTTCAGGATTGAATGTGAAGCAATGGATATTTTTTATTTATTTTGCTAAATATCTGCGACTGGAGCAGGTTTCTTTAGCAGAGCCAAACTAGTTTTTCTATGGTATAAGATGACTACGGTCTTGCATTTAAAAAAATTGCAAGTTAACCACAAATTATGTATGACTTTAACAAAACATGAGGATATGTTTAGATCTAAATCTATTTGGTTAAAACTTAGCTAGTATAAAAGGTTCAGTGTAAGAATTACCTGCTGTTGGAAACCAAGTGCAAATGTTGCCAATGCCAATGCTGACCTCTGGCTACCATGAACCATAAATACTTTCACAACTGCGTCTTCCGGAGCATAGAGTGGGATAACCTTCTCTTTGTTCGTTCTAACTGTCTGAAGCTCCTGCCCATTGCTTTCTGCTGCTTCCTCTTCTCTTTCAATGTCATTTTTTAACATGAAGCTCTCCGTTTGGTAACTTTGGTTATCATTCTCTGAAGAGTCATTTTCATCACAAGTTGAACTTTTCTTGTCAATCTGTTCCAGGATATCATTGATAATGGTTATACAACTCGTGTTTGGTTGAATGAAATAGTGAGTCTATAAATGTTCAGAAGAGTGTCAGCATTATGCAGCAAAGATTGCAAGAGGTGTTTGTACAAAATAATTTATAACACACAAATATTACATGTAACTATATTTTCAATTAAAATCACACAAATCAAGGAAGTGCATTGTTGCTAAAACACATTTTTGGTTTCGAAGATGTTTAGAAACCAAAATTTTTAATTTTAATTTTTAACCGATTGAGAACATGCTGTTTTTCGAGTGGAATTTTTCTTGTGGAAAGCATGGACATTTGCACTACATAAAGTTTTACTTCAGCTTTCTTGAAATTTTGATTCTTCTCATTTGCTAACCTAATCATGTCTTTATGCATCGCCCAGATAACAACCCAAGATTTTGATTAAATCAAAACGTGAATTCGAATGGTAATTTATTTAATAAATAAATGTTAATGTAATCGTAATTTCATCGATTATTACGATGTTTTCATTTCTTTGGGTTTTTTTTTATATTTTATTTCCTTAAATTGTCCTCTGGTTTTATAGCTGATTGATTGGTCTCAAACGTTAGTTACAAACATTAAACTTAATACGAAAAACAGAAAATGAGTTATAAGTTTGATTTATTACGTTTGATTAATAACGAACTGCAATCTTCTAAAGTTTATATAGTTTTTCAATATAAGTTCTTGCAAAAAGAAGCCTGTCCAACTATAGTTTTGTGTCTGACATGGGATATCGCGACTGAATTATTTGAAAAAAATGCTACTCTGTGTGTGTCCAGACAGAGTAGCATCATCTGAAACAACTGATGTTTCTTAATTAAGGTTTTATTGACGCTAGATCGAATAGACGTTGGATGCAAGATCAATTTGTAATTGAACTGAGATTATACCACTAAATAATCCAATTTTATAAATTATTCAGTCTGATGAACATGTATCTGACAATAAGCATTCTTTTCCTAAAGTGACGAGACTTATTTTGAGGTTGGTTATGCTCGGTAATAAAAAATATTAAAACTACTTACTTCAAAGATGGCACCAATGTTATTTTTGATTTGAAGTTTCATATTTGTTGCGGAAATTGAGTCAATTCCATATTTGTATAGTCCAACGTTTACGTCGAGTTCAGCGACATCAGCTCCAGACCAGGAAGATATCAAGCGTTTAATATACTCTTGAACGTAATTCACTCTGAACTCTAACGGTTGTAGTGCTAAGTCTTCCAATGTCATTAATTTGTTTTTTTCAATGGCTACCAATGTTTTTTCTCGGATCATTTGCAGTCTTGGAGAAGCATGATTCTGGAGGTAGACTGGCCAATTCATGGCAGATAGGCAAACTTGAGCTTCGTTGGTATTCTCGAGTAGGACACGTTTTAGAAATTCAATTGCTAAAACGAAAATGCATTATTTTCAATTTGCTTATTATCCCCGAGCCAACGGCGTGGTGCGCCGTTCCGGGCATAAGGCCGGGGGCGAGGGTACTAATTCCGCCTGGCTATTTACACCTGGGGAAACGAAAGCATTAGCGTTCATCAGTGATCATCATTAAAGTTCTTTTTTTTTTCATTTTTTTTTTTCAACTTTATTGGTTAATATTTATAAATATGTACGGATACATTTGAAAATAGCCGATCGGCAAAGACGCGAACGGAACTGAAGTACCCATGCGAGGCGCCTTCCCGTTAAGGTATAACATTAAAATAACATAGGTCAACATAAGACTAAATAGTAAATTATACTGTATGTAAAGCCAATTCTCAATGGCAAGAACAGTCACGAGACAGTGTCCAGGTGCACGGGAAGTCTATGTCAAAGGATGCATTGAATAGGGTCAGGTATGTTTGCTTGAGTAATTGTTTGAATGATGAGATGTTGGAAAAGCCATGCACAGGAGCTGACTTGCAAATAGTGTTCCAGTGTTTGACAATCCGGTTGTAAAAGGATGCCTGAAAAGCGTTTGTCTTACAATGTGGAGCTTTCATAACTAAAGGAATCTGGCTGTGTCTGGTGCGGCCATGGCCTATAGATGCAATATATTTATTGACGTTCACGTCGATGTACCCATATAGGGCCTTGTAGAAAAAGGTTTATAAAGGCAATAAGTGGAGCAACTGCAGTCTCTGGTGGTAAGACATTTCTTTGCCTTTGTAACCGAAGATCACTTTGGTAGCTCGCCTCTGTACTCTTTCAAGCTTGGTTTTGAGCATGTCCTGCGCCGGGGACCAAACTTAATTGGTAGCATAACGTAACTGTGGCTTGACAAGAGATAAGTATAATGTCCGTCTCACTTGAATATCAGTTAACAGTGGACAAGTTCTCTTACGAAGACCTAATAACTTGTTTGCCTTTGCAACAATTACAGATATGTGATGATGCCAGGTGAGTTTGGACGATATAGTAACTCCAAGATCTTTCTCTTGCTGAACGCGGGTTAATATGCCAGAACCAAGTTGGTAATCGTATACCACAGGATTTTGCTTGCGTGTTGTGGTGAGAACTTTACATTTTGTGCTGTTGAATTAATTTCGTATTGCTATGCTGGCTCCAGATGTTAATGTTGCTGAGGGCTTGCTGTAAACCCTCGCAGTCAGTCAGAGACGAGATGTTTCGATGTAATTTGGTATCGTCCGAGAACAGTGCTGTATTTGTACCATTTGGAATAATTTCAGGGAATCGTTAATGAATATAACAAATAATAAGGGACCAAGGATACTTCCTTGAGGCACCCCGGAGGTAACAGGGACCCACTGGGATACAACACCGTCGATCACAACCCTTTGAGTTCGACCGTTCAGGTAGTCAGTGAACCAGTCCAGGAGTCGTCCAGCCACGCCGTAGCATTTTAGTTTCTCAACAAGTATTTGATGGTCAACCGAGTCGAATGCTTTGGCAAAATCGGGGCACAAAACATCCGACTGGGTGTTATTGTCAAGATTTTGACCAATGTTGTGAAGTACCGAGAGCAGTTGTGTTATACATGAACGCTTTCTCAGAAATCCGTGTTGTAGTGGAGAAATTAATTGAATAACGTCAGCGTACATGTGATTGTAGACGCAGCGTTCCATGACTTTACTCACAATTGATAGCAGGGAAATAGGTCTATAATTTTTGGCTGGTTCTTTGGAGTTTTTCTTGTGGACAGGCGTGACGTTGGCAGATTTCCACTCGGAAGGAAAGCGACCGCAAATGAGAGAGTGGTTGAAGATGGTACAAAGACTTAGTGCAATTTGTTGACTACATTCCTTCAAGAGCTGAGAGGGTATCCCGTCTGGGCCGCAGGCTTTTGTTGTGTCCGGGGAATTTAGACAATCCGAGACCTCTTCGACACAAAGGGTTGTGTTGGATAGTAGCATGTCCGTCTTTAAAGGAAATGAGTGCTTGATGTAACTTCATTGACATTATCAGTGCTTGGATGTGAGAACGTTGAAAAGGTTCGCTTTTTCTGATGCAGTTTTAGCTGTTGCACCGTCATATATAATTATGGTGCTTGGACTAGTCCGATGATGGAGAATGGCTTTGTGATAGCTCAAAAAATGCTTGGGGTTACTGCTGAGTGAGTCTTCAAATTTAGCTAGGTACTCGAGATGTTTTCTTTTGATCAGTGATCGCGGGCGTGGGTGACCAACGTGGGTGGTCATCCTCACTAATCTCAAAATATATGGCGGACTGTCATCAATAGCGAACACTGATTGGTCAAATTTAAAATTTGTTGTTGTATGACAAATTACGACAGCGAAATAACAAACATTTCTTGCAACTATATTGTGTTTTTGCAAGATTTTGCAATTTTCAAAACCTTTTCGAAAGCCGAAAACCGTCTAAAAACGTCTAAAAGGATGGAGCAAAGTCGCCGACGTTAATAAAGGTAAGTTTGGTTTTAGTATTGCCGTATTGTTTGTTTTAACTATTGCTTTAAAAACTGATACGATCCGTTGCGTATAGTAATGTGAAAAGAATTTCCCATTATTTCAGTGTATTTTTATTACTTACCCTTTTTTTGTATATTAAAATATTTAAATAAAGAGGAAAGCAAAGAATTTGAAATGAGTTTATTTCAATTTTCAAACTCAATGTTTACCTATAAAAGGCAGTTCAGTTTTAAGAACATTTTAAAACGTTTTGCGAAGCGTTTGTGGTTGAAATTTACATTAAATTTAAGCTTATATTACGTATATTAACATACCTAGCATATATATGTTTGGCAAATTGATCATTTTTTTTATCAAATATCTCATAAAAGTGATTTTTTTTTTTTGGGGGGGGGGGTTGTTTCAATTTAAAAACTATTCTTAAAATTATCGTGTTATATACCATGACAATACTTCATGTTTGGAAAACATAATGGTTTTGTCAGCAAGGCGAGGGTTTCTGCATGCATGTATTTTCTAGTACCATTATGTTTACATTATTTAATAATTTTTATTATTTAGGGGTTGACTGTGTTGCGCTGTGAAAGAGCAAGAAACGTACAAGTAAATATACATTACAAACAACAAGTACTTTCCATGACGCTGCCTGTTTATATGTACTACATTCTACAAAATTTCCATGATTTAATATTCTAATGATTCCGACAAATAAAAAACAATGATCTTCGTATTGGAAAATAAAGCAATTGTTATACTGACGTTCCCACTAAGTTGTATTGTTCCTTGTTCCTTGTCTTTTTCTTACTTTTATAATCATTTCTGACATAGTAAGCAAGCAAGTGAAATTATTTTTTTGTGATTGGTTCTTTTTCACATAATATGAGAAGAGGTGTGCGCTATAGTTCACTGGACATACAGCTTCTATTCATCTGAGAATTTACAATAGGGGAATAGATAATTGTTGAACAGCTCCTATATTATGTACCTGTTGTGTAATGTAGAGTATAAAAACCATGTTTTTCAAGAATTGATGCGATGACTGCATTCCTCTCGAGCACCCCAGCACCAATGATTGGTCCCCAGTTGACAGATAGCGCTGGCAAGCCAAGTTTGTGTCGACGATATTCACATAGTTGATCCATGAATGAGTTAGCTGCTGCGTAAGCAACTTGACCAACATTACCAAGAACACCAGATATTGAGGAGAACATAATGAAGAAATCGAGATCCATCGATAGACTGAGTTGATGAAGGATAACACTTCCTAATGTAAAACATCCAAAGATAATAAAAATAAGTTATCATTGTTACATATGCTAAACGTCATTAATTACTTTGTGTTCACTTGTATTTAGATAAATTCAGTGTATCCCTGTATTAAAATGAAGCTTATAACACGCATAACTAGAGGGCACTCAGAGACTGCATACCTCCGCCCGCATTGAATTTCGGTCGTGTGAAATGCAACTAAGACAATAGACAATGAAGGCTGAAGCTTAATGAGGTTTATCATCTCATTATTGTCTTAGTATCGCGTGCATAAATTATACACGTCCTAATTACGCATTCAGTATTTTTTTTTTTAATTGACCGGGAAAAGAAAGACAAAATTTTGTTCATTTCTCGTTCAATTTTTAACCAAATTCAACCAAATTTTAATCAGTTCTTCCTTAGCCGATGGGAAATGCATTAAAAACACACATACACACACACACACACACGCACGCATACACACATACAAACCCAGATGATTACATAACCTCCTGGCGGAGGTAATAAAATGCTCGCGCACACCAGTGTAACCATTATAACCACTTCAAACAATTCATTTTTTTGAAAATATTGTTGTTTTGCTAGCAAAGCGAGGTGTTTCTGCGTGCATGTATTTCTAGTTTTGCATGTAAATAATGATTGGTCGTGTGTTTAATAAAAATATTAATTTTTATTGGGAAATATGAGCCCTTGTTTGATGGAGCGAATTATTATAATATTGGTCGTTAGAACTAGTCAATGAAGCGCGGAAATATATCACGGTCAGGAATTTGTGACAATCATGCATCACGGCAAATCACGGAGGCACGAATGCGCTCCAAAAATAAAAAAATTGTATGTCTTGACTAAATATATAAATATACGTTTTAGGCAAAATTGTAAAAAAATAATGTTAAACATTGCAATTTTGTTACAAAACATATTTAAGGGTTTAAGTAAAAATATAATTTCCAGGCAATATCAATGCAGAAACTTATACAGGCTAAAATCCGCCTCTTCAATTGCCTTATTCCCTGCTCCTGCCGTCCAAAAATTCTAGCTTACATGCAGAGTCCACAGTAGTAATATAGGTACCGTTTGCCCATAGATACAATAGAAGGATCAAAATTGGTTTACTATGATTGGTTGTTTAATTTGATTTAACGACCTTTATACAAGCGTCTGTATAAAGTCGACAAGCGTCTTGTCCCCGAGCCGGCGGCGCGAAGCGCCGTGCGAGGGTACTAATTCCCCCCCCCCCCCCACACCCGGGGAAACGAAAGCATTAGCGAAGTCTAAAGTTCATCAATCATCGCGGGCGCTGACCAACGAACGACGATCTTGAGTGGGTGGTCATCCTCACTTATCTCAAAAATATGGCAAGCAAGATTTCAATTTTAAAAGACATATATTTGCAAAAACGTTTCATATACAACAAGCTTGAAGCAATTTTGTTTGAAGAAATGAGAATAATTGGTTTACTACGGGAAATCGTGAAATATACGGCAAGTTTGCTTTGAATATTTTTAAAATGTAATAAAAAACATGAACTATGGAAGCTCTAAGTTTCATAAATTACCGTTTAATTTGACAAAAAAATCTTAAAATGTAAAGGCGAACAAATTCATTTGAAAACTGAAATTACCTAACAATTTTATTTTATTTGTATTAAACTTATCATGTTTTGTTAAGTAAAAACAGTTTATCGGCAAAATGTAGGTTTACTTGAATGAACATTTCAAAACATTTTACGAAGCGTTTCAAGTTAAATTTTACATTAAATCAAAGCTCACAAAATGCAAAATAATATACCTACAGTATGTATTTCGGACATTTATTGTTGTATAGTTAAAAAGTACGAATCTTTCAACTATTTTGCAGTTTTGTACAAAATATATGAAAATAAAATTTAAGAAATAAGAATATCGTGTTGTCATGGCAACATTTGAACGCGAGCCAGCGTTCAGTGCTGGTCATTTCTGAATACTTCGTGTTTAATGTATGGAAATATTGGCGAGGGGTTACTGCATGCATGTATTTCTAGTAGTAAGTATTAAAAATTCAGGGCGGCGCATGCAGGGCAGGGCGGCGCATCATTGAAAATTCAGGTCGCTGTTAATGTTGTTGCTATGCGTTGCTGCTAAGTACATAAACTACAGCAAATAATATAAAGCCTCTCATGAAAGATATAACACACTGCTTATGTTACTTTAAACGAAATAAAAACGGTGGTTTTACAAGCATATTTTCAAAACATATAGTTTTCATTGATAGAAACACAAATATTCTGATGGTAGCGTTGTCAGGTAATTCCCACGCGTAAAACACAAAAGTTTAAGTAATTATTAAGGGGATTAAGCCAATACGAATTTGCATAACCAATAGGATTCTAATGGATATAAATGGATATTATTACGGGCAGTCGTGACTCGTGGGCATGTTCAGGCGAGGAGTCAATATTTTCACTCAGCTCAGCAATTTTTCGCGTCAATGGAATATACATTTCTCAAATCTGCTTACGGTTTAACAGGCGAACTTGATATCTTTTGACTGTTATTTGTATCAATAAACATGTTTTAAGCTTTGCAAATGTTGTGTTGTTCTGTGTTGCTAAGTCATTAGGTGGCATGTATGTAATTAAGGGATTAGGCGAACAAAAATCTGCATAACTATGTGTATCCCAGTGGATAGATAGGGATTATTTATGACGCAGGTGTATGCCTTAAAATCGGGCGCGTGGCTTTGCGGGCAAAAATTTACACAAGAATTTGCATTTAAAACACATTTATTTCTTCAAACCGTTCTACAAAGGTATGCTTTTAATATATATCGTCACTTGTTTGAGAAGTTTCGCTATCCGATTCGACGTCGTGGCTGTTTTCATCATCGTGGTGCTTTCAACCTCCGTAATCCATTTGGTACGTCTTGGAATTGCTATATGAGGACACAGTTTTAGCGTCTTCGTAGATGATAAATTACTGCGTTGGCCCTGTTCTGTATTGCCCACGTTCTTTGCAGATTTTGTATTCGATTTTTTTCTCTTCCTGGAGGATTTTGGGTGACGGATGGGTATATTCTTTATTCCGCTTTTATTCCACTTTGACTGCTTTTTACTGTTCGCAATTAATCTGTACAACTCTGCTAAAACATTTTCTAAGTCTAAAGCTGTTGGCTTAGCACGAATAAGATAAGGTTGTCTTTCTTCGGAAGAAAGCTCATGGACATCTGACAAATGGTTTGCCAATCTTTTTAAAGCTCGCCTGCCACAGATGGAGCAACTTTACACTTCCGAGGAATAATGTCAAATGATAAATGTCAACTGATTTCCTAACATTAAATAGTTGTGGCCCCAAAGGCCTTTTTGAAGGTTTGCCGGGACTTGGAAGTCCGAGATGGGTAGAGAAATGGATTAGGGAAAAAAGCTACCACACAGGATCGTATTTTATTTTATAGTTATAAACCAAACACAAACAACCATTAAGAGTCAATGTCACTAGGAGACCACGTGTTTCTGGAAAGTCTTTTCAAAAGAAATTTTCTCTTGTCAATAGCGGCCTCAAACGCTTCCTTGGACGTGGTCGAAATTATCATAGTTGACAAAGACATCCCTGGTTTCCATAATCTTTTTGTGTACTGGATCCCTCTTTAGTTGTCTTATCCATAGTAGACAATCCAGATAAATATTCTGCAAATCTTTACGAAGTTTTGG